AAATGTCTCAATAATATAGAAATTTTCACTTATTATTTTGTATTTTTGAGTTTGATATTGTTATTAATATTAGATGCTAGGTGATACTATCTTCAAACATATAATTTTGTATTGAAAATCAGGATTTTTTGTACTTTGTATACACATACTTGAAAAATTTCTTTAAATTTAATGAATTTCTCAATTTGACTTTGTGTTTTCTATTAAAACTTATATCTGTCATTTAAACACATATTTCTATTAATTTCTTTATAATCGTTATATTTAATTAAAAAAAAAAGAATAAGTAAAATAAAATAATGTTACAAAGTATAATATTGATAGGATGTTCTAACAAACAACTTGTTGTTTAAATAGGATTTTATAAAATCAATTTTAAACTTAGTAATAATAAATACATTTAATAATTGTTAACAAACACATTTTAAAAATTAACATTATTCAAAATTTTTTTCTTTCGACATTGATCCATAGAAACGAACTTTATCTTAAATTATACAATCATTTTTATGATATTTTGTGTGAAATATTAATGTTAAAAGAAATTTTCATATTTTTTAATTAATATAAAGAAAAGTCCAATATTAATAAAACTAAATTATTGTCGTATACTTATTTAAGAAATTAAGTTTTATTTAATAATTATTCTTAAAATCGACTAGCAAATAATTGAATATCGCTAAAAATTAAATAAAATATATTTTATAACGGTACAAAGTACAACATTTCATTGTACTGTAATGCTCAATTGTATTTAATACTTATATTACAACAAGTTTCATTTGGATGTGCAAATATTTCTTGAAAAAGTTTATATGTACAACAAATTTTCTTTTAAATGAGAATTGCGCTTTGTGACGAATCATAAAACATTTACATAAAAATGGAATCATCACGCAAATTGTAGCGTATACGAATAAGCGAGAGGATAGAAAATTTTGCAAATTTATGAATATAAAATTATGCACTTCTAAAGCTCTATATTGAAGCAATCGAGTAAGATAGCGAAAGAGTGAGTGAGTATGAGAGAGAAAGAGAGAGAGAGAGAGAGAGAGAGAGAGAGAGAGAGTTACTTGTAATTAACTTTTTAAGAAATGCCAACACCTCTGTAGTTTGTCTTTGTTTCTTCTTGAATCGGACTGAATATACTGTGCTTACAAACACATAGAAAAATGTGAACTTTATATAAGCATTGCGAGCGTAAGAGAGCAGAAGCGTAAACCGAAAACGTACAGAAAAATATTTTTATTTTCTCTAGTAAGAATTATATAAGCTGCATATATTATTATTCGATTATTATTTAACCCACGTAATAGTGAATGAGTAAGTTATAATAGGAAGTAGTTTTACTTAATATAAAAATCGAATTTTCTTGCCATCCATGGTGAATTTATCGGCTATTGAATAAAACTTTGTAAAGGCATTTATTGATTTTTTTGTCGTAAGAATTATATCAAAATATTTTTATAAATTTTTACAGTTATTTGTACAACGACCGTTCAAATATTTTGTTTGCATTTCTACAATTGATAAATCCACCAAAGGGGGCAAATCAACAATCTACAATTGAACTTAGATTTTGCATAATATTATATTAGAATTAGGTTATTTATTATTCTGTTGGTGCTGTAGTACAGCGATAAGTCTAGAATTTTTATAGTCATAGTTAGCTTTTTTCTTTTTATTTACTAACTTTTATCGTTTTTCTTTAAAAATTTTATCGAAAATGTTAATAATAATTGAAATATAATTTAAAAATAATAAAATTCAAAATATTTAATTCATTGCTATTTTTTGTGATATACATTTTTTTAATCTGATTTTTAAAGAATCTACTGATAATATATATCGTAAGAAAAGAGGTGAAATGTTATTTAAGAAGGTTTATGAAATATACCTTTTGCGAAGTTTTATGAAATATATTATACGCAATAGGATAAGGTTCTAATACTGTGTATTCTATTTTTTTTTATTTTTTTTTTTTTATTTTTTGATTCCATTGTTATCAGATACATTTATGAGATTCAGCAAAAGAGATATATTTAACACATTGACAATCTGTTACGTTTCTTCTGCCCTCAACTCACCCCTTTTCACGGCACCTATTCAAATCCAATAAAATAAAATGTTCATTATATAAAGTAATTTGTACAATAACCAGTACAATTGTTTTGGTATTTTAGTATATTTTAGTATAAAAAGAATCTCAGCGGTGTAGTAATACTATTAAAAAATACTAGCTAGAAACATCCATATATAATGCGATTATTTTAAACAAATTGTCGAGTATCGAAAAAAATATGTTTACGTACCGAATGCAAGTTTCCTTTACCAACAATATAAATACTATCCATAAATATTTAAAATGTTCAAAAACGCGTTATCCAACACAAAACAAATATATTGTAAAATCATTGTTTTAAAATATGTTCGTCTTTTAATTGGATATTTATAGTTTTTTCTAATTAATGACATCGTCTGCTTTTGGTTAAAAAATTTA